GTGGATATCCTAAATTGCCAATGAAGTCTGTGGACACTCAAGAACTGGACACCCACAAGTTCCACTGCATGAGTGGGAAGTGCCTGTTATCTGTGGACCACAGATAACCCCATGTTTCAAGCTCAGGTTACTCCTTGATTTCCAGACCTTCTCTCACATAATCATGGGTAGTTTAAGCCTTTTAGAAACCAAGTGTTAATCCTGGAACTTTTCTTCTCAGACATTGAAGACCAGGGAAATTCCTCAATTTTAGGAGTTTCAGAGGAGGTACTTACTTAGAGAGAAGCATGGGACAGGGAAGAATGCTCAGGGTAGACAGAGATGGGGACAACCTGGGGAGCATGAGTAACATTGATTAAGCAGAGCCTTTAAATAAGTGACCTCATTGGACAACACCTACAGAACAGAAAGGTATTGTTATCCTAGTCAACAGATTGGAAAACTGAAGCTGCAGAGATAAGTGTTTCAATATGAATTTTTAACCCCAGGTTTTCCCGATGTTGAAAGCCTGTGTTTGTGGCAGAAGTCAAATCTACTTATTTTAACTAGCTTAATTTTTATTTATATTTTATTTCATTGAATTGAATAAACAACATATGTTCTATACACTTACTTGTCTAGGTCCTCAGTAATTTCAAGAATGGAAAGAAATGACTTATTTGGAATGGTGCATATAAAGTTGGTAGCTGCTCTGGATGACATGCTTGATATAAGGTCTTCAGTTACTAATACTTAGAAAACAAATATTCTACACCAAATAACTTAGGGAGAAGAAACCAACCTCAAAACCCTACTTTTAAAATAATATTTTATTGATTTTTTAGGGAGCAGGTGAGTGGGAGAGAGAAAAACATCAATATGAGAGTGAAAGATCCACTGGCTGCCTTCCGCATGTCCCTTCTGGAGATCAAGCCTGCAAGCATGTGTCCTGACCAGGAATCAAACTGGCAACCTTTTGGTGCACAGAACAATGCCCAACTGACTGAGCTACACAAGCCATGGCGAAAACAGTTTTTTTGTTTTTTTTTGTAGTAAAATAATATGACAAACATAAATTACCTAAAATTACTAAATATACATTTAGTTCTGGAAGGTGAAAGTTTGATGCATATTATTTTAATCACTCCTGTAAGATCAGTTGGTGGGCTCTCCTGTTAACAGTTACTTGCTCCAATATGATTCCTAAAGAAGTGTATTCTTTGCAGTATCTTTTACCTCAGTTTTAGCTGAAGCAAAAACATCCTAAATGGGGTCAGTTTTCATGTAATTATTAGCTGCCCTAAGATGAAGGTGACTCCATTTTGTCTTATTACTGTTATTTGTCACAGATATGAACTAAAGCAACACAGCAAACACACCACTGAAACTCTCAAGGGAAGAGAAAACAGTGATAATGGAAAAACTGTTCCTGCTAATGCTGTTCTTTCCAATCACATCCCTTTCAAGGAGTCAAGAAATAACCGGAAGCTTCCATTACCTATGTCTATGATGCTTATTATTCACTTTAATATTTGAAATAAAGAGTAATCTGAAAAAAAAATAGCAGCTCTTCTCTGTCTAGTCCAATCAAACAAAAACAAAGAAAAATAAGCTGAAGTGGAGATAAGACTAAGGAAAGAAGAAATACATTTTTCTATTTCAATACAAATGAATTACATAAGTCAAAAGTGATATCAACAAAGAAGCTATGAAAAATAAAAACATAAAACCTTTACTGATATCAACTGGTAAAGGGTCACTTATTTATAAAACAGAGCGTTACATAAATTATGCTCCCCCAACATAAAAATGTCAGGTGCAACATGTTGAGAACACGACATTCAACAAAGGTAATAAAATTCAATAGGGCTGATGGGCCTTTTAGTCTCTCTCCTATGACTTAAGTGTTTACTAAAATAGAATGATTAAAGCCCTGTATCTTAAGGGTGATAAATACGTCGTAGGCTGTAATGTTCCCTGATTAATTTCACTAATGACATATCAGCTATCTTCATTTTAAGCAGCCATTATAAGAATGACAGATTGCAGCGTAATGTAGCTTGAAGAAAATAAAAGTCACAAGCAGACAACTAAGGAATATGGTGTCACATGTTACACTGTATAAACACAAAATGCAAGACTTCCTGCAAAGGAAATAACTGTGCACCGGCGTGTTCATTTTAATTTTCTTTTTAGTGCCAATTACATTTCCCAACACAATTATTTTGGGATAAAACATGACATTTTACACTTCATTCAAATTTTGTATTTTAACTCCAATCCTAATCATTTATTAATCAAACATGTTTTAAAATTCCTACGAAAATGTTTTCTGCAAATGCACTGGGACAAGATGGCATTCCCTGGAGAGTTCATAACTGAAAATTGAATGTTGGCACTGCATTCTCTCTTTCTTTACGAAAAATATCTGCTGATTATGCAGCCACCATGTTCGAAATTTCTGCTGTAGATGATTAACGGGGAATTTGACAATACACATACTCCTCATAATGCAAAGAAAGGGAATGGAGACTGAGCTTATAGTCTTACCACAAAGCCATTAAAATCAGTTACTGAAGGGCTTCAGGTTTAAGAGAGGCCGACTTATCAGGTGGTTTCCGCCTTGGCTCCATCCCAGAGGCTCGTCTGTGGTGGGGCACCTACCATTCACCACCAGCCTCCAAGGTTTCAAATGGGCAATGAGGGTTGAGAATCATTGTTTTGGTCTGGCAATATAGGCACCTACTAAGAGCTCCTTACAGAGTCAGATCTAGCCAGGCATCTTGCTAACTTTCTAATATGAAGAAGACTGTCTTATTTTTCCATTCCAGACAAACAGACGGTAACTAGAGGCTCATGTCGGGAGTATGCAGATGTAAGGAAACACTGGGTGTGTACGAAAATAGAGAATGAACATTTGAACGCTGTACAAAGGGTGGATCCAGACTGCGACTTAAGGCAGGCCATCTGTAGCCTGATTGTTTTGCTTTTGTACCATAACTTCTCCAAAACTCTTACTTTCATCTAATGAACTTTTTGCTTATTAAATATGACAGAATTGAAAGATAACTTGATGTGTTTAAGTCCAAATGCCTATGTGCATACAAAATTTCCTAATACATATAACCTACACTTCATTCATTCATTTTTCACTTATTCATATTAATAGTATACTTATTGAGAACCCACTATCACTAGGCATTGTTTTAGGTACGGCCTTATTGCAGTGAGCAAAGGAAAACAGAAATACCATTTTTCATGGAGCTTATTCCTGGCATGGAGTATCTGAAAAAGCAGGTAGATGAAGTTTCATTTCTCTTTATCAACAATATATATAATATATATTGCTCATCTATATATAATAATTTGAAACTTTTACAATGTTAAATAATAAAATGGGAAAATATAATATGAGGAAAAAGAAAAGTTAGAAAGCAATGATCTTATAACCTTGGTAAATGCTAAACAAATAGACTAAATAGCTTGAAGGGTGGTTAGAATAATTCACAGGTAAAATAAATTACAACAGCTATTAAAAAAAACTTCAATACATTCAAAACTATGAAAATTAAACTGCTTCAAAACAGTAATCCTGATGTGCATTTTAAAGTCACTAGAGGGTGGCGCTCCCCACATGGCATGGTAAATCCTCTCCCTTCCCAAACACCCTGGACACTGGGAAACACTGTTTAAAATAACCATTACTGTCACTTTAAATAAATAACAATTTCCCCTTCCAGATAATTTATGTTGGCTGAATCACTGTAGTCCTTCAGTGTCTCTGGTCTATAACATCCTATGTTTCTGTTATTCCCTCTAGCCCTTTGCTCATCCAGAGTGACACATTTATTCTTTTTATGCACTTTAGATGGTTTCATACTCTGATTCTGAATTTCCCCCATTAGTACTGGCATATTATTTTTGAAAAAAGAGATTATTTAAAAAAATTTTTTTTTATCAACCCAATGTGTTTCATATGGCTCAGATGTTCATGCCAGGCCTCCAAGACATCCTCCTACATCTATCAAAAAATTATGATAGAATTCCCCCAAACCATGGAAATGCCAAGAGACATGGAATGGGGTGAAATCGAGGCCTTCTGAAACCTCTCTCATTAGTGGGGAAAACATATAGGCACAGAAAGCAGCAAAGCCTCCACTGGAAGACTACAGTAGTTAAAAGCAAAGGGGAAGCTAATGACATGGCAGCTCTGAAGCAGCCCTGTCCAGAAGATCAATGGCATTCCTTCCTGGGAACAAGGAGCCTGTCCCATGCTTCCTGGTGTGCTTCTGAACCAGTGTCTGCAGCAAAGAGACTCTTGCGTTTAACTTTTTAATTAATGTGTGTCCTTGCTGACAGACATAGTGAATGGGGTACGTTTCCCTTCCCATTATAGCTTTGACTTTAGATTTAATTACTGTGGAAATGAATCAAGAAACATGACTTCAGGCACTGCATTTTAAATGCCAGCAGAGTAACAATGTGACTTCTCTATTTTAAAGTACCAGTGTCATCCCGTCTTCATGATGAGTGATATCAAAATAATTTTAGGAAGGAGCTACCCACCTGGAAACCCTGCAATCCATGGGAAGATCACCTGTTAGTTGCAATTTGGAAAGGTTTTCTTTGGATAATGACTGTGTTTTATTGCGTGGGTATTCATAATTACTCAGATATAAAGAAACTGTCCCCTTCAAGTGTTATATATGAAAAGAAAAGAACAGAGCCTGTTCACTTAGGTTTAAATGAGTTAATGAAATAGAAACTCCATGCATGTTATCAAAATTTAGCCATATTCTCTTCTACTGCCTAAAATGAGTCTGAGGAATATTTGAAAGTATATTATCTTTCATATCATGATTGATAAGCCATGGAAATGCAGTGAAGTTATTAAGTGGTTAGTTTTTCAGTAAAATATGCATTTGGAAAGCAAGCAAGCAAGCAAACAAACAAACAAACGAAAGAACAACAAAGGCCTTAAAATGATTTTTAAAGAAAGAAAGTGAAAGATCCATGGATACCTTCTCATGCAGTCCAGTGCGCGGATGAAGAAGTCCTTGTGCAGCTGGTGCTCGTCTCTCAGGATGGAGCACTGCTCAAGTGTCACTGACATCGATGTCCTGTCTTTGGCACTTTTACAGCAGGTGAAACGAATACCATTTAGTTTACGACAAATCTGTAACACAGAGGTATAAGCCATTATTGTTCCGTGGTTGGTTACTCTACAAGAGTGGGACTCTTAAACTCTTCTTGTCTCAACACATTAAATTTATGCTAATATGTGAGTCGGTTGGTTCGATCTGCCCTATTGAATGTAAAACCACACCTGAGCATTTCAAAAGCTAGTGGAATAGACTTCACATAGTTCTTTGTATGGTGTGAGGCATGGGACTGCTGAAGCCACATGGGATGGTCAATATCCAACAGAGGCAGCAATGCTCCCTGGAAGGAAGTCCAGCTGCAGTGGATAACCATAACCATTGCAGCTTAGGTACAACACCTTAATTGGGAAGGGGATCCGACACTTGATTTGAATCCTAAATAACTAATGTTGTCTTACTTTTAAGCACCCTTTGCCAGTCTTGGTTTTAATGTTTGAAATTTCAAACATCTACATGGTACCAGCACAGCAGAAATGGAATCACTAATCACTTATCAATACAACTAATAAGAATAAGAACACCCACCCCCCCAATAGCCACTGCTAATTGCACATCTACTGGGTACCAGATACTTTGCTAATACATTTCATAAAGATTTGAAATTTAATTAACTTCACATGAACCCTGGAGGAAGATATAATTATTCTCATTTTAAAGGCGAGGACATCGAGATTTGGAGAGGTTAAGTAACTGCGTACAACACTGTCCAGCCAGGATGCTAATGCAAGTCATTCTAACTCTAAGAATCAAGTTGTTAATTTCCACTCTATTCTGTTTTTATCTGTAATTCCTTCTTTTTGTGATTCTGACATAAATAAGAAGAAGCAATAATCTCTTTTTTCATCACCTCATGGTTAACAGGTGAATCATTCCATCCTTTTCCATATCCCTTGGTAGGACCCTGATACCAGATACCAACACTCAACGTTAGCATCAATGTGTAGTCAAAATAAATCTCATGTGTCATAATATAGGCCTGCTTTATTATCTTCCATCAAGGAGGCCTTAACAGGTTGCCTGTTTTGAGAAGAGGATATAATAATAGTTTATCAAGGCTTTATACCATATATTTTTTAAAATATATTTTATTGGTTTTCCACAGAAAGGAAGGAAGAGAGATAGAGAGCTAGAAACGTCGATGAGAGAGAAACATCGACCAGCTGCCTTCTGCACACCCCCTGCCAGAGATGTGCCCGCAACCAAGGTACATGCCCTTGACTGGAACCGAACCTGGGACCCTTCAGTCCGCAGACCGACGCTCTATCCACTGAGCCAAACTGGTTTCAGCTTTATAGCATATTTTAATGGTGATTCTTAGCCTAGGAGTTACCAATCCTTATTAGATCTTTGGTACTTTCTCATTATTTATAAAAGAAGTGACTAGAGAAATGTGAAAGCATGATTTCACCATACAATACTTTTCCATCTAGAGAATTCTAATCCATTTGAATAAATAATATTTCAAAAGTTTTAATATAAAATAACAGGTTGACTATATTCATACTAATAAAATATAAACCTTGCTATCTACTTATCAGATATGAAATTTTTTAAAAGAATAAATTTTCAAATACTCTATTATCACTGTTTTTTGTGACATCCTACAAAGGATACTGAGTGTTCTAAATTTAAAATGGAAAGGAAGCAGGGATATTTCATCAGAGTAAACAGGCTGTATTTCTACAACCTTTTCAACTCTATGAGCTTAATTTAACACATCTGATTGGCATTTGATCTCCAGATTCTCATTTTTTAAAATAAAAATATTTTGGTCTTCAGATTCTCATTTTTATTTTTAAAAATTTAGTTAAGGTAAAACCAATAACTTTATCTTTTTCAATTAGAATGTTAAAGTTTATCAAAAGCAGTATTTTTATCAATAGATTCATAGAAGGGGGAAAGGAAATAGAGGCAGAAGCAAAAGCTTTTTTGAAAATGTCAAAAGGGATTCCTATATTTCTTCATTTTTAAGAGTATTATCATGGGCCTTGGTTTATAGGATATTAAAACTGAGGTATCAGCCTACAGATACGTTATTAATAATAAAGTTAATATTCCCACAGAATGCTAACTTTACACACTGTGCATATGTGTATTTATCAAGGTAGGTACTTTCTCACAATGGGACTTTGCGAGTAAGCCATATTTGGCCAGTATATGCATTTTAGAACAATATTTAATAAATGAACAAAATTAATGGGAAAACCATTTTTATATATTCAAATGGGAAAGTACATATAGTAAGAAAAATATACATTTGCTTTTGCATGTGTGCATCCTTCACTTTCCTATTTATATAACTGCATGGTATGTTTATAATGACATGTATCTGTCTCCAAGATAAATTGGTAAATTATCAGACTTCCTTCACGCTACCATGTTATTAGGGAAAGGGCAAAAATAACTTACAATCTGCCTTTGTGAACTTTTTGTGAGAATTAACAACCACAGTAGTGTTTGAAGATACAAAGAGCAGTCACACTGGGGAAAGAACTATTAAAACAACCTTCCTGTAATGCACTATGGTGCTAAATGGAACCAGTGTAAATGAGCTGCCTGAAAGCCATGTTTCATATTGTTACCTTTGAAGTTCTTCCCTGGGGCTCCAAGGGGGCATGAAGGGAAACTAAAGCTGCTTTCCTCTGCCTTGCTCTTGGTAAATTATTTTATATCTCAACTTACGGTAAATTAGCCATTCTTTTTCCACAGAAGAGAGGAAATAATATTGGATTATAAGGTAAGCACTGACAGTAGGAGGAAAGGCTCTGTCTGAAACACTATTGTTGGTGAATGAATAGAGTATGCTGGCTGTTGGGTTAACCTAACTTCAAATTACAGGAATAATGCTGAGAATAACTACAAACATGGAATTCATCATAGAGATCTCCAAAGTTTGCCTTTCCTGATGAAAAGATCAATTCCTTAGGATCTGAATGCTTAGCAAAATTTGTAAGTTTATCAGAGCTATGCCTGAAATGGTCGCCAGATAAGAGAGCTTGCAAACCACAGGCAAGATTCTCTGGCTCACTCTAGTAGGAATCTGGGTTGAGAAAACAGGAAGCTCTTCTACCCTGAGGAGGCCATTAACTGAGAAAGAACCATACCTTATATTGCTCATTACCCTGAGAGCAATCTGCCAGTAATACATTCTATGCCAATATCTAAATTAACAAACACATTTACAAACTCATTAATTGAACAATATGTCCAGGAGCCTTACTGAGGCTGTAAGTCAAAGATCTGATAACTCTATTCTGTTGAAATCATACGTCTCTAGAGCATGACATGGGTTGAATCATGCAACAGGAAAATTACAGCCATTTCCTTTTAACCTCAAAGTGTCAAACATATCCAAGATTTGTGAGAAAAGCCAATGAGAAGGATTCTTTCTCATTCAGTTCATCTTCTTCCAATTTGTGTTCTAATTTACTGGTAGCACTATGACAAGGCTTTATCTCCCAGACAACAGAAGATGACATCTGGTAACTCAGAGTGCAAACACTGGCCCCAATCTAGCAGATACCCAATATTGCTTGCTGGTCTTCATGGTGACAGTGAGTAAGGTTTGGCAGGACAGCGCTTACCGTTGCAGCCAGCCACATGATTTCTACATTCTTCCTCTTTTTGGCTTGGATATTTTGATGGAGATTTTCTAGTAATCCTTTTAAATCATTTTGTTCATGAAAATGTGAAATGTCTGGGGGGAAAAAGGAGAGGAAAAAGAAACAGTATTAAGCTGCTCACAAAATTTTCCTCAATATATTTGCAAATGCAATCTATAACAACAAACGTTATTTGGAGCAGACTATGTAAGGATAATCATACTTATTAATCCTCTAGTTTTGTTCTTTACTTAACATGACTCAGTTTCTCTATTCTGTATAACTGTGTGTAATGTCAGCTAGTCTTATAATACTATTATACTAATAAGAAAAACATTCTTTTTTTAAAAATTGACTTGAGAGAGATAAGAAGGGAGAGGGAGAAAGAGACACCAATTGGAAACCAAACCCACCACCTCTTCGTGTATGGGATGAAGCTCCAACCATCTGGGCCACATTGACCAGGACAAGAAAAACATTCTTAATGATGATGACTGCTTCAATCAAAGCATGGTATACATGGATATAACCTTCCATTGTTATTACTGAATAGCTAGTCTGAATCAGGAGACTATACGGGGTAAATATAAACATTCTGCAAAACACTGATTTAAGGCAACCTATGTCAAGATACATAGGTGATTTTTCCCCCACAAGTTCACAGTCAGAGGCAGAGTCAAATAAAAAAACCCAGTCTTCCAACTACTATGCCAGTAATTAATTTTCCCCAAGTCTGTGCTAGTGACATTACAATTGACTTTTGGTTATTAAAAAGCAATCGTCTTAACACAATGGACCAGCTTCTTCAGAATTCAGAGACTCCAGAATAAAGCATAATGATTTTTCAAAATAATTTAGTTTCATTGTTGAAATTGAGGTGTTTTTTTTTAATCAGTCATTTTAAACCAACTATACTGCTCCTAAATACAAACCAAATGGCTATCCTTTGCCCATAAGGATAGTGCTTTAGCATAGATGGACATGATGTTGTTTGCCATTTTACCCACTCTCCCCATTGCATGCTTTTTAGAAGGAATCATTTTGATGTGCTTACAGTTTTCAAGTCACTATTTCTATTCCTGTCATGACAAAACTTGCCTTATTCAGAGAACATCCCTATCAATCCAACATTTTACTTGCTGCCAAGTTTTTTCAACATGACAAAAATCTTGCAAGCCACAGATCTGATTCATGAAAGTAGTATCATAAGTAATGAGTAGTTTGTAGATTAATAGAAGAGCTGTCAAGATATAATGATAGAACCTGATATAGCCACTGAAAACCATGGTATCCATAGAAAATGTATTAGTTTTAGACTGAAAATCAGTCTCCTCAAATGTAAACATAGCCAATAAATTTTGCTTTTTGCTACTCACTCTAACACCAAACTTAGAGCAACTAATCTCAATGCCTATCTCCACAGGAGTATTCTCTATTCAAATGGGGTTGAAGAATGTAATACAAAAGGTGAAAGTACAAAAATATCCACAGCTTTATTATTTAATATTTAAAAATATTTTAAATTTCAAAGAGAAAACAGTAAACTGTTATATAGTGCTGCAATGTAATATATAGGTAAAATGAATAAGTGCTATATGTATCATCATGAATATATACAAAACCTGTTGAGTAAAAATTGCAAATTATTGCAGGATTCATATAACAGCAATAATATAAATGTGCAAAGCTGTATCATATTTTCTATGGTTACATACATTTGGAGTAAGAATGTGTACGAGAATGCAAAACACCAAATTCAAGGAATTGATTTGCTCAGAGGCAGAAAAGTTAGAGATGAAAACCAAACAGGGCTTCTCCTTGAACTGAAAATATTTCTTTCCTACAAAATCTGTGAGGCTGAAGGACGAGTTCCCTAGTGTTTGTTATTTGATGATCTGTTTTTTGTTTGATTAAATTAAACTTTCATAATTGTTTTTAAAGAAAGCACCCAGCCAAAATTCCAGGAAAGTGATTTCCAGTGCCAAATCTGCCCCAGCTTTGATGTGTGGTCATGGGCAAGTTGCTTAACCCTCTGTCTCAGCTGCAAAATAAGGACAAGAACCCTGTCAAGTTTCATTGACTTGTAGTGGAAAACAATTAATAAAAGTCTTGGCAGAAGAGGCTACATCATTAAATTCTGTATCAACTCTGAAAAACAGAAGAAAACATTAATAGCTCTTAAAACAGTTCATAGCCTTGGATAGGATGCCAAGCTTCTCAGAATTTATCCAAAGCAGAAAACGTTCTCTTACACACACACAGGTGCACACCATGATCATGATCAAGAACAAATCCAGTGACTGCCTCCCACACCCTCCCAATAGAACAGACCAGCCAAGTATACGTGCACTTTGGAGTACACCCTTTCTCCTTGTTTTGTCAAATAGGGCTTCTTCAACAAGAGTTCTGAATCGGACACTGACCTGAATCAAAGACAGGATGTTGAATAATGAACAGGAATAGGATTGTGAACTCTCAGCTGATCCAACTGTAACACCAATAAGGCCCATGCAGTAGCCTCATCCCCTCATTGTCAATCCCTTTTCGTTGTCAGAGTCCGAGATGAAATGGAAATGAATCCCAGCAACAGTTCCACTCTTTTCCCCACTGCATAGTAGGCATAAAATCTACATGGAATCAATTATGTTCTCACTCTGAAGTCAATCGATAAAAACCCATCACCCTTGAAATCAGGACTAATTCAGGGATGTGCATCTAAATCCAAGCTAGTCAGAACTTGTCTCTGACCTGGACAATGGTTTCAGGGATATGCAAGTGATCTGTGATGTTCCAGCTGAGTGAGGCTCTGGAGCCTGTAAAATGCAAAGGGAAAGAAAATCCCTATGGTTGAGCATGGGAATAGTTCATGGCAGCCATCCTTGAGTCACAAAGGGGCAGTGACAACACCAGGAGTGGCAGAGTAATGAAATGGGGTGGGGGAAATCATTTTAATATTACGGAGCCACTAAACCAATTACATATTGGGCAGGGACAGTTTACAATATTCAGGTCACAAAGGGCCCTCGGTGTTTTTTCTTCTTAGCTCACAGGGCCAGGCAGCCCTCCTTTATAGGGCTGACACAGCACTTAACTAGCAGAAGCATTCCAATAGACCTGAATGACAATACCCTTCTCCTTTGTTTGGGAAAAGTGCAAGAAATGGACATTATCAAGAGACAACGGAGAGGTCTGAGATGATCAACTAATACTTTCTTACTCCTCATTTAAAGGGTAGAAAAAGAAGCATTTCATCCAATCAAATCACTATCACATTTGCTCCAAATCATAAAGCAGATGGTGACTCTAAAACATAGAATAGTTTGTGCTAGTGGTTTATGGAAGTGCTTTATTTTATTTTATTTGCTAACCCCAAATTTAGGTGTCTCAATGATCTAGGTGGGCATGAAAGGGGCCTTGAAAGGTTTCTGAAATCATGCAACCCACTGGGAATATTAGAGCAAGAAGAAAGGAAAGCACTCATATCTGCCCCACCAGAGTTTCTGCAGTTGATCAAAGAGGCCAGGCAGGATATAGAGGGAAGTAGGTCCTGATGGTTTACTGTGCCTTAGAGTCAAAGCAGAGAGAACCACTGCCTGAGAGCTACATCACTATTCAAAGATGTGAAAAAAGAAATCCATAGCACACAGTACCCAGGCAGAGCAAACAGACCTCCCCATTGTCAACAGTTCCGGCACCAACTTCAGATATTTACTTCTTAATTCAGATGAAGACAACATATAGGAAGTAGTTTTTCCATTCTTAGGATCGCCATACCTGGCTCAAATAAACCCCTTTTGCCATTATTTACTAATGCAAAGTAGCTTTTTTATATTATTAAGTGTTCAAATAATTAACAAATTTGAACTTTATAAGCATGCTGTCTGCCAAAGCATTTCCCTCTACTAAATTTCATTCTGCATTAAAAATGTTTTATATGAAATAAAACTGCAGGTGGAATTTTCTAACTATACATATATGCATGGATATACCTATGCCATTATGACATTTTAAGTCAAAAGTCACTATGTTATGAAAAGATCTAAACACTTCACCACCTAGTTCAAGCTAAGTGTCAGAATAGAGACCAGTGAACAGAGTGTGAGTGATTCAGTGACAGGTAGACTTTTATTATAGCTTTTGGTTAAGAATATGAAAATATTTCTTACTTTATTAAAACCTAGTATCTTATCATTATGAACACCCCAATATCTCAACATATTTATACTACTTATGGATGAACTCCAAAAATTCTTAATTATCTGACTTTGGACTGTTCAAATTATATGTGTTTAATTTTATGGGGAAAAAGAACTGTGGAACTGAATAATGGAAAGAAAGAAAGAAAGAAAGAAAGAAAGAAAGAAAGAAAGAAAGAAAGAAAGAAAGAAAGAAAGAAAGAAAGAAAGAAAGAAAGGAAGGAAGGAAGGAAGGAAGGAAGGAAGGAAGGAAGGAAGGAAGGAAGAAAGAAAGAAAGAAAGAAAGAAAGAAAGAAAGAAAGAAAGAAAGAAAGAAAGAAAGAAAGAAAGAAAGAAAGAAAGAAACCACAAGTGTGAAACAAATTTCTATAGGCTTAAATGCCTTAACAGTTTTTCACATAAATATTGCAGTAAGTATATGTGTTAAACTGGTTCCTTATTTTACATCATTTTATACCCCCAATAGAAGTTGTAGTCTATCTGATTTTCTCCTTGGATATGCATGATGTGGCTTATAAATAATAATAAATAAAAAAACCCCAAAACTTTACTAAGTCTATTACATGGTTAAAAATGACACAAAATTTATATTGGACTCAACTGAGATTTCTAATGATAAGTTCCTTATTTTCACTTTTGTCATTGCTCATTGTCACTGACAATGACCTAGCATGACCAGCTAGACACAGTCTAGAGAACAATCAGGGCAACGAGGCAGGTGTGGACCATGCCACGTTGGCAATCAGCTATTTTGGTTCAGAAATCTCAAAATTGCTCTCACATCACCAGCACATGCTTCTTTCTTCCATTGACCTCTATATCTGACCTCTTCTGAAGATTTATAATCAAGCAATTATTACTGTTGTTTTCTATAACTCTCAGACTTACAATCAGGAGGCATCTTTTCCATAAATATCGTGTAATATTCTTTTAGAAGTTCAAAATTTTCCTGATTAATACTTTCTTGCAAAGAAACATCTCCAAACCTAAAAAGAGAAAAAAAGAAAACAGTAATAAGTCATAAAATAGCACCTGAAAGGAACACATTTTATCTTTCCTTTTTAAATAGATGGCTAAAGTTGCCTAAGGAGTCACCTTGAGAGAGAGAGAGAGGAGAAGAGAGAGAAACATTGATGTGAGAGTTTAACATTGATCAGGGCCTCCTGCATGACTCCTACTGGGGATAGAACCCACAGCATGGGCACGAAATGGAACCAGTAATGTCGTCACAGTACACTGGACAATGCCCAACCAACTGAGCCACACTGGCCAGGGCAGGAGTCTCCTTTTTTTCAGCAATGTTGCACAATGGTGATTTCAAACACATTCCAGTCACCACTGGCCCTGAGTCATTCCATCCATCCCTTTGACACACCAACATATTCTCATAATCATCAAATGTAAATTTTGAATGAAATATCAAGTCTAAAACACCAGCCCCTGTTCTTGTACATAACTGATATTCACTTAATATTAATCTCCCCACCTCTGCAGGACTGTATCTCTGAGATATAGATAACTTTCTTCTCTCTTTTTTATCTCTCCAATCTTCCTCTTTACTCATGAGACTTGAGGAGAGGCCCAGCAGTCCAGCACTGGATTCTGGGCTGCATGCAGACTCACAAACGCTGTCAAGGGCATATGCAGAGCTCTCCAACCTTCCGGGGAGTAATTCGGCCAGTATTTTTTCCTGTCTATTCCATGAAGGCCTATACCCTCTGCACTGGTACTCTTCTGCCTCTCTCTCGAGATAAAACTTTCTACATGTATATCACAGATGTTGTGTTTTCAATAAACATTTCCTAAGTTTAAATTAGTGGCGGGGCACCTTTTTCTCTGCCAAAGGCCATTTAAATATGGTATTTATAACATCATTCAAGAGCCATACAAAAATTTTAACTTAAAAAAAGTTAAAATTATAGCCAAATATATTTGGCTATAAATGTATGACCAAATATAGCAGGCTAATGCCTTGGCAGTGCCTGGCCAAGTGATTTTTATAGGTCTTCTATGGCCCATGGGCCAGAGATTCCCCCATCCCTGGTTTAAACTAAAAACCTGCTTGTCTCTCTGTAACAGAAACAGACTCACACCGAGAACATGCTGAGGGTTGCCAGCAGAAAGGGGGTTGGCAGACTGAGTAAAAAAGGTGAAGGGATTGAGAAGTACAGATTAGGAATCACAAAATAATCATGGGAATGTAAAGTACACCAAAGGGAATATAGTTAGTAATATTGTAACAACTTTGTATGGTGCCACGTAGGTACTGGAAATATCAGGGCAAACACTTTGTAAAATATATGATTGTCTAACCACTATACACTTGAAACTAATACCAAATAATATCTATAATAATAAAAGCCTAATATGCTAATTAGACTGGACATCCTTTAGGAAGACCTTCCAGACAAAGCTGCAGTGGTGGGGGCTGAGGCAGAGGCGGTCACCGCCACACACTTGTTAGATGACATGGCACTGCTTAGTGTGATGACGCAATGGCCCACAAGGGCTGATGTTACTCCCTCGTGTGCCCAGCGCCAGCGGGGGCGGGAGTGGGGGAAGAGGGCGAGGAGAGGGGGCAGAGGGCCATGGCCCCATGGAGGCAGCCAGCCCTTGCACGAATTGTGTGCATCAGGCCTCTAGTTTAATATAAACAATAATTGAAAAGAAATTAAAAATAAATAGAAAGAAAACCTGAATATCAATTTTATACCTGAAGCTTACCTCTCAGCAAGAGTTTGCTGTTCATTGATCCCAACATTAAAAAGTACAGGATGCACTTGAAGTAACTGCCCTTCTTTAATCTGAAGAGGGAGAGCCTCAAATAGCCTGGCTGGAAGTTTCACCTCCACCACGTAATGCTCACTGAGGCACGTGAAGGGAAAGGAGAGGAAGCGTGTTACTTTAGATCCATTGGAAACAAACAATAAAACAGTTGGAATATAGCACTGGTGTAGGTTTTTGGCTGCTATCTGCTTATTTTCTGTTATTAATTCATTCAATACTGGTTGCATTCACTTCTGTACTAAATTACTTGGCATAAAGGATTGTTTACATGTTTGATTTCTCTCCGTTATTCCGAGTTCCTTTAGGAAAGGAAGAGCGTTTCAATTCATTGTTGTGTATCAGTGGTATGTGCATAAGAACCTCAATATTTGTTTTATTGATTTAGTTATTTTTAAAACCCAACCAATACCAAGAACAACAAAGTAATTCATGGTACATTTCTTAACATAGTGAATCCAAGAAGCCAAATAATTTATAACCTTTTGAACAATTATGACCTGATATTATTATTGATGAACCTCCCTCTTTGTGATGGCCTGATGCAAATGTAATAGTTTCATTATTTAAGGCTAACCACTGGAGTTCCTTATCATTTTGCAACATTGGCATATCACAGGTACATATTTTTGGAAACTGGAAAGTTTCATTAAAAATATTCCTAACAGACTGTTCAACCTCAGAGGGTGGGTGCGAAGAGACCAACCAAAGAACTTGTATGTATATATGCATCACCCGTGGATACTGACAATAGTGTGGCGAAGGCCTGGGGCAGGGGTGGGGTGGGCTAGAAGGGGTCAATGGGGAAAAGAAGCGGACATATGTAATGCTTTTAACAATAAACATTAAAAAAAGAAAACAACAAAAACTAGCCATAGTGTTTAGTGTTCAAAATTTAAATTAGGATTATAAAATATCTACTTGTATATTTTGAAACTGACATCTTGTGATGCAGTGTGAACTGAATACAGAAATACAGGCAGTCCTCAGGTTACATTGGACTCGACGCACGTCATTTCGTGGTTACTTTGCCATATCCCATTTATTTAAAAAAAAAAAAAAAGTTCCATCATTTCAATGTATGTGCATATGTGCTGTATGGTTTTTATTATTTATTTACCACAAGTAAAGGTCAGGAATGTTATCTTTTCTTTTATTTTTTTTACTGTGTCACTTCATTACTGCTGTGCATGTGCTCCATGTGAGTGACGTAGGTGCTTATGTAGGTGGGTTCTGACTTAGAGAAAATCATGTTATCTCCAACGTAACCCAAGGACCTACTGTATAGAGAGTTTTACCCAGAATTTAGGAAAATCCATGTGATTCCAGGACTTTATAGACTGCTGGGATTATAACACATGTTTTTTGAGAAGCAAACGCAGGACAATCACAGAATCTCTGAAATCTCTGTAGTTTCTCCTATGCATGTGGCTAGACAATTGTCGCAGCAACATTTTTGGAAAAGATCCTCCATTGATTTGTTTTGGCACTTTTGTTGAAATTTACTGACCCTAAAGATAATAATTTATTTCTGGACTCTACATTCTGTTCCACTGATCTATATGTATATACTTATGCCAGTAGTATATGGTCTTGATTATTGTAGCTTTATAGTTAGTTTTGAAAACAGAAAGTGTAAGTCCTTCAAGTTTGTTCTTCTTTTATAAATTGTTTTTGGTTCTATGGGTTCTTTGTATTTTCATGTAAAGTTTAGAATTAGACTGCCAATTTCTGCAAAATATTACAACCAAGATTTCAATTTGTGGGGAATTGCCATCTACACAAGATAGAAAATTCTAATTTGTGAACATGGACTGTCTTTCTACTTACTGAATCTTATTAATTTCTCTAAGCTATGTTTTGTGTGTTCTGTGTACAGTTCTTGGACTACTTGGTTCAATTTAGTCCCATGTAATTATTCCTTTTTGATGCCATTGTAAATAAAATTATCTAAATCACCACTGTTTCTGACAACTTTTCAGAAGTGTACTTTCTTCCTGTTTTCCAATCCAAACTGTCAACCCCCTCCTCTGGTAATGAAAGTGCTGGTTTTCATGGGCTATCTTCCTCACGGGTAATGTTGTGCAAACAGAGCTGGGGTTGCCGGGAGCAACCTTGGCAAAAAGGCCACAGACTCCAACTGTCTTATCCTAATGCTCACGAGTTTTCCATGAATGAATGCTTCTACATCTGTGAGTGCATTACTCCCTTAGTCCTAAGAGGACAGTCTTGGAAAATTCTGTCCTTTTGTAATGTTGCTTTCTGAAGAGAGGATCTGCCAAGCTGTGCACTTAGCCACTCTAGAAGTCCACAGCTGTATGTAGACTTCTGAATTCAGATACAGCCTAAAGAATCCCCTCAGAAACAGCATCCTGTTCTCTGTCTATATAAGATGGCTTGGTAAGCTTCCCTCATATAAATTTTCCCTCATAGAAATATCTGTTTCTCCCTTTTGATAGTCATCTTTATAATATTATAGAGTGGTACTATTTTCCAGGTATGCGCATGAGCAATTTAACTCCTCTTTTTTCCAATGAATGGTAAATAAAGCCTTAGTTGGCACATAAAATATTTAGTTTTTTGAGAATGTGCTATTCCTTTATGTATAAGAAGTAGCCACCTTTCATTCAACCATCTCGTCATCCATCACACAAAATTATCGTACGTTTACTAAAGTCAAGAAAACATGATCAGTTTGTACTTACTTAGTCTCCTCTTGCTCTCTCTCTAGCATGAGCAGGACTCTATATATATATAGTGCCCTCATATTTATTCACTGTGCTCAGAAGATGTTTTCAAATTTCAAATACCTTCAGGAAACATTGGAAAGTGCTAACAGCAGAATTGTTAAAACTTGGAGGACTTCTGATTGAAATGATTTACCAAAGGATATACTTTTTCTGTTTGGAGCTCTATACTACACAGCATCATTTTCTTAATTATTTCCGATATTCTGCCTATCATATGCTGACCTTCGAAGCTATTCATTTAAAGCCATTCTCAGAAATCTCAGCCTGGGGGTGATTTCTCAAAAATAATTAAGAAAAATGGTGGCATATGACCCTGATATAGAAATACATCTTTTCTAAAATGTTGCTGCCTTTAACAGAATTTAATATGAAGTCATCTCAAGAATTATGATGCTATTAACCAAATGATTCTAGCAAAAGTAAAAATATCCAGAGCTTTACACTGGATAGCAATAAAGAGGAAAATCTTCTCTTCATGCAAGCTGATATTTTGAAATCTTCATATTTCACGAAGAAGCAATGCCATACTCACCTCACTATAGTACAATTTACAGTTAGGAGACTTCTAGGAGTTTTTAAAGATCTTCCCCTGTCATGTCACCTACATTTATTTCTCACCAACAAGGAAAGGAGAAAAAACAATTTCCAGAGCAAACCTTACTTCTTGGCTCCTTCGTCAAGAGCCAATTCAAATATCTAACAAAGCTTGGTCTTGGGAAAATGGGCACCACTTACCGTCTCCCTGTTATAACTGGCAAGACATCATTGGATTTGGCTTCAATTATTTTAAATGCAACTTTCTTCAAATCTGAAATGCCAACAGCCATGTCCTCCAGCATTCCGATTTCATCACCTAAATTGAAGAAAAGAGCCTGGTTACAAGTGTACTATTTTTTAAAGATATATTTTTATTGATTCAAAGAGGAGGGGAGAGGAAGAGAGAAACAGAAACATCACTGATGAGAGGGAATTATTGATTGGCTGTCTCCTGCATGCCCCCTACTAGGGACCGAACCCATAACCCAGGCTTGAGCCCTGCCTGGGAATTGAACCATGACCTCCCAGTTCATTGGTCGATGCTCAACCACTGAGCCACACCAGCTGGGCACAAGCACACTATTTGAAGAAAGTGTCCATGGGTAGTCTACCTCACTGCTGGGATTTGTTCTAGTATTTTAGTAAAGGAGTTTCTGAATGCAGAGAATCCATTCTCAATGCTTTTCCTCAGAGGCTGAAGGTTTTCATCAGTGAAATAAGAGCCATGCCAACGGACTCCAGCAGTTCATGGGCCCTTTGAGGGAAGAAAGAAAGTACTCATTTGCTGGGAGGCAGCAGCTATGTTTTGACTGTTCTAGGAAACAAAGTGTCCTGCAGAGTCTTTCCACTGGCAGGACTGATACTTGATTTCTAGAAATAATGGAGATGGCTGAATTGAAGATCCTACCTAGGCTCATGCTAGTTTTATATCTCAATACACTGGCAAATAAAGCCTAAGAAGGAGGTAATCAAGTACCGGTACCATTTTAATTAGCATTGCCTAACAGAAATAGAATGTGAGCCACATATATAATTTTCCATTTTCTGATAGAAAAAAATTATTAACTTTCTATTTATTAATTTCAGAGAGAGAGGAAAAGAAACGGAGACTGAGGAAAAACATCATTTTTTTTGTTCCACTTATTTATGCTTGTTAATTGGTTAATTCTTGTATGTGCTCTGGGGATCAAACCACAACCTTGGTGTATTAGGAGGATGCTCTAACCAACTAAGCTGCCCAGCTAGGGCTCAGTAGTCAAATTCTAAAAGATTGAAATAAAAAGGTTGAATTCATTTTAATAATATATTTTATTTTAACTCAATATCTCTAAACTATAATTCCATTGATAAATCAATATAATCAACAAAAAATAATTAGTTATTAATGTAAAACTCTTTTTTTTAACTAGTTGTTAAATCTGGTATACATGTCTTGTACATATTGATTTGAACCAGGTACATTTCAAGTGCTCAAATTGAACAGTTCAGTTCTAGGTATTAGAGGGTTAGACTTTAAAAACTCAGTTCTTTAAACTATGTTGGGAAAGAGCCTTTTCTATTAAAAAGCCAAATGGCTGCTTAGGTCTCCACTATGAAATAATTTATAATTCTATTTTCATAACATAATGGAAGGGAGTACAGTGACAAAGTGAATGCAAAGAATGAAAAGTTACATTAATTCTGGAATGCTTGATGCAATAAAGTTTAACTTTCATTTTCATGTTTAACTGAGGAATCCAAGGACCAAATATCCTATGAGTATGAGTATGACTTTCACATGTACCGACCATCCATACTCACTGTATGTACTTAGCAGTCCTTCATATTGTACTATCAATCCCACCGTGTGAAGCTGCTGTAGGAAGCCAGGGTCATGCAGACTTGTGTGTAATTTGATGATAAAACCACAGACCAATCCAGCAAGCTAAAAAAAAATAATAATAATTGAAGAAATTGATGGGGGTCAGCAAACTTTAATTTAAAAGTATTGAGGACTTCTGAGGCCTCAGAGATTTAATTTAAAAAGTTCAAGTACGTATAACAAAACTCAATTTATATATCTATGTTGAAACCAGTTGGCAGTCTTTGATCAAGTAAAGCTTGGGAAAGGCAGTGTTGTGAAAGAGGGGAGAGCATGGGCTCTGAGTCAGGTTGACATGACTACAAATCCTGTCTACCATTTAAATAAAAGTTATTTAAAATGTACAGATATTATTATTTAAAAAAATACTTTTTGCACATGCAGAATAGAAGACTACTCATTTCATAGAATCATTGAAAATACTCAATGAGGAAATGTGTATCAGTCAGAGCACATAGTTCCATTTGTCACTGGAGCATCCATGACAAGGGCAGTTTGGTTAAAATATTCCATTGGCCTTAAATGTTTAGAAAGAGAGGCCTTCTGTCTCTTTCCCTCCCTGTGGCTGTTTATAAAACTCATGGGGTGGAGGCAGGAGGGGAGAAGGAAGGCCCCTCACACAGCCACTGTGATGGAGGCTGGCCTTGGTGTCATGGAATCTGGTTGGGTGTGGGCAAAGGAGGTGCTCCTGTCAAACCTCCTGTTCAAGCCTTCCTGCTGGCCAATTTACTCTACATACAAAAGAAGAGACCACAATGAGGCCCCATCCTGGAATCCATGAAGGAGCTGTATAAATAGTGGGTTACAAACAGGCCCCTTTGCCAGTCCTAGTTGGCCACCTGCAGTGCAAGGCAACTATTCCTTTCCTTCCATTGTGCCCTACAGAGACCCCAAGCCACGATATGATGACAGCATGGGTGACCCTTTCCTTCACAGACTCTCTGCTCTGAAATTTCTACATCTACCTTTCAGAGACTTGGCCACCTCTGCAGAAATAAACACTAAGGTATTATAAACTGTTTCTATGTACTTTTTGGTTCATATCACTATATATAAAAGCCCAGGTGGTAGCTATGATGCACAATGAGCACCAAGGGGCTCAATGTAGAGGCATGGAAACACAGAACAGACTGATGAATCTCAGAGAGAAGAGGGAAGAGGAGGACAGGAAGAGATTAACCAAAGATCTTATATGCATATTAGAGGCCCGGTGCATGGATTCACACACTGGTTGGGTCCCTTGGCCTGGCCTGTAGGGATCAGGTTGAAAACAGCTCTTCGACATCCCACCAGGCATCCTAGATTGCAAGAGGGCACAGGCCAGGCCGAGGGATCCCACTGGATTCATGCACTAGGCCTCTAGTTATGAATAAGAAAAACTGGGTACCAAAACTACCAGGAAAGAATCCCTTTAAAAATAAAACTGTCCAGGAGAGACCCTTCTCTTCACCAATGATAGTAGCTAACAACACAAGGGGCACCTACTGCTTGGCTGAAGACGATGTCCCTTCTCAGAGTCAGCATCAGACACTGAGGCAAGCTGTAGGCCAGTTCCTGAAGGAGCACGAAGGTCAGGGATTGCTTGGCTCGGTTCACCACTTCCCCCATGCTGTCCTTCAAGGTAAGGATGAGGGGGTACAACTGTTCATACCAGTCCTCTGGGAGGGCATAAAAGGGTGTAAACACAGTGGGATAAGTGACGGAAGGTTTTGCAAGATAGAACCAATTGGTTGTTTTCCTCAGTCAAGTTATACATATTATTAAAGATTCACAAAGCTTAGATTTGAAGATCTCCAATTAAAATATCTCCTCTGAACGCCAGATGAACAGTCTCAGTGAACTGAACAACACGTTTCCTAAAACTTGTCCTCTTGCATCTCAGTGGCTCTGCAAATCTTGTCTCTACTTGAAACACCTTTCCTCTACTTCCCTTCCTGACAAATACTTCATCTTACCTGTAGGCTCAATTCAGTATTTCTCTCTTACAGGATTTCCCCCTAACTAGCATAAGTAACACAATCCATTTACCAAAGTTTGAGTTGAGTTCCACTTTTTCTCCTGCCCATAGCAACTTTTTGTCACTGTTCTAGAACTATTTATGCACTATTTCTCAGCAAAAAAAGGAGCTCACTGAGGACAAGGGATTGATTTTTTAATTACTAAGTTTCCAGAACTTAGTTTGGTGTTTGACATATAACAGGTATTCAATCAGTTTTCATTTAATGTTAAAAAAAAAATATATATATATATATATATATATATATATATATATATATATATATATAAGAAAAGCCTTTTAAGATAATGACAAGCATAAGAAAATCACATTTTTGACAGTTTTTTGGAATTTGAGCAGATTGTTTTTCAAATCAAAACACAAAATTGGAACCCACTGTACTTTTCATATGCTTAGATTTTGAATGTGTTTCAATTATAAAATTATGGTTTTGGCATGTGACATAGTTATGATTTTCAATGTGTTAGAAAATCAAAGTCCTAACAAATGTCAAAAGTTACAAATTCTGGGCTGTGTGATATTCTATTAAAATATAAATAAATTGCACTAGCTGGTTTGGTTCAGTGGATAGAGCATTGACCTGGGGACTAAAGGGTCCCAGGTTTGACACAGGCCAAGGGCACATGCCCAGGTTGTGGGGTCAAGCCCTATAACCCAGTAGGGATGTTCAGGAGGCAGCCAATCAATGATTCTCTCTCATCACTGATGTTTCTATCTCTCTATCTCTTTCCCTTCTTTTCTGAAATCAATTACATATATATATATATATATATATATATATAGTACTATAGATATGATTTAAAGAAATGAGTGTATGTTGAAAAATTAATTATGAATCAGGACCTGAAACGATACGGATTTCTCAGCATGGAAGTGTAAGTTTCACCATAATTAATGTCAGAGGTCAATAGCAGTTAAGACCTTGGAAGAGTTATAGGAAATGAGAAAACAATAATAATCAATATGTCCCATCTACTGTCACTTATTTATGCTATGGTGTAATTCACTAAATGGAATAAACAAAAATGGTTGGAAGTGTAATTAATGACCTCAACTTAATAAAAAGATATGCTCTTGTAAATGTTTATGTGATGCTATGACAAAAATATATTAGGAACATTGGGAGTTATTTAAAATATTGTACAATTAATTGTTGTGCTCTGAATAAAAACACTAGATAAAGGGAAACTCAATGAAAGCCTAATAAATCCATAATCATTTAATAAAAGGCTCACTTTTGGACAAACTAGGATAAACATGAAAAATGGTTCAATTTAAACAAGCTTGGTATCTATTGATTCCTAAGTTATGACTACACATAAAAAAGCAAATGGACAACAACACTTAGTTTCAGAATAAAAGACACAAAGAAGGAATACTTTATATTCCCATTTTTTCATATTTATATTCTTTTCTCTCCCATTCTTTTATTTAATAATTATTCTCAATATGAATGTATAGACTAAAACACGCACACGCGCACACACACACACACACACACACACACAAAACAAATATTCCAATAAACTCACTTCAATGTAAATCTTAAAAGATAACAACAGACCAATACTTGTGCTTAGGTCTGAAAAGATCAGTTTTCTAAAAAGAATGCTCAACCATAAACTAAAGCTCAAGCAGTAGGTGGCGCTGCTTCCTCAGGCTGAAGCAGGACCACTTTGTCACTCCATTCAAGCAACTGATTTAAATGTCTTTATACACATATGTGGTTCCCAAGCGGAACCATGTATATTGTGAAGGCACGTTGAGTCATGCTATCCTTTGTTAAGTGGTCACAAACTTGGTCATGGAATTTGAGCAGATTTCTCTTTCTAGTGAGATCATCTAAAATTTAATTGTTCTACCTTCCCCCCTTGTTAGATACAAAGTGACAGCTCAAGTTAAACATGGCTGTTGGGTTTTCTTTTTGAAAGTATTTAGAAGAGTAATCATCACAGATTTCTCCATTAGCATTAGAATAATTTTTAAATTAATTTCTAAATCTATTCTCACATTTATTTGATCAGTTGATTCTTTTTTTAAAAAATATTTTATTGATTTTTTTACAGAGAGGAAAGGAGAGAGATAGAGAACTAGAAATGTCAATGAGAGAGAAACATAGACCAGCTACCTCCTGCACACCCCCTAGATACATGCCCTTGACCAGAATCGAACCCCGGACCCTTCAGTCCGCAGGCCGACGCTCTACCACTGAGCCAAACCGGTTTCGGCTGATCAGTTGATTCTTAATCATATATTGCAATCAGATAGTAAAAAAAAAAAAAAAAAAAAAAAAAAAAAAGTCTGATTTCTAATTCCACTAGAATAAAATTGAAAACCTGGAAAGAGAAATATGCTGTTATTCTAAACCGAAGAGCATTGCTAAATACTTGTCTGGTACACGGTATTCCAGTATCCCCATTTATTATAATTATATTTTAGGAAAATTTAAGGAAAATGACAGTTTAGGAAAACATTAATTACGAATGAGAAAATTATAAGTTTTTCAGTAAGGACAGTAGTCAGTTTCTTTTGGAGAAGCATATGAGAGCAAAAAATAGGTGTGTTTTTTTTCCCTAGAAAAGAAACAAAGTTCAGCAGCTAAAGAAAAGCTGCACTGGCAAATGCAAATTTGTTTCCTGTTGCTATCCACTCAGTGTGACTCTCCAGTTCTGAAATAAACACAACGTGGTATGTCAGGCCAAAGAAAGGCCCCGGTCAGGTCATAAAAGGCCTTTTTGCTCCAATGAGCAGCCAAATCACCCTCACAAAGAAACAGCCAATGCTTTACTTCTCTCCTGAAAATGATTTTTTTTGGGGGAAAGAGAAACACTGCAGCTGTTGATAGTCCTGACACTGTTGTCATTTCCGCCTTACCTTCCTGTCTCTCCATACATCAAAACTGACATGGTGTTTACATTGTCCTCATGATAAAGCCATGTCTTCATAGAGATGGAGATGGTGTACCTTCTGTCCTATTTAGTCAAAGTAGGAAATCCTGAAATGCACAAGTCCATGCTTCTGAGACACACGTGCACGCGCGCGCACACACACACACACACACACACACACACACACACACACATGCCCCACAATTTTGTCACTGCACCAACACCTCTCCAGGAGCTGATTGATCTACCTGGAATCTACGTGCCCATCCTTCTGATTCTATCACTGGGCTCTTTTCAGTGATAGAGGGAAGAAAAAAAACAACACATTTTTATGTCTGTATAACAATTCGCTGAAACTCCTTAACCCTGACAGCAACAGGCAGAGTCTTTGCTCAGGAAAACAAAAAGTGTGTGGCTTCGCTGAGCTTTTCCTTGAGCTTTGTGAAGAGTGCTGGAAGCTGGCCAAGTGGAGCTTGTTTTCCAGCCTTTGACTGTTTCTATAATGTAGCCAAGTGGAGCTTACTGAGGGATTCAGAGAACAACTGCAGGCGCCCCTCACCTCCTCCACACACCATCTATTTTCCACACAGGATGCTCTATCCTCTGAGTTCAACTGCACTTATGGCACTCAGGAGAAAAATTAAAAGAGCCAAATACCAACCAACTGGAGCAGGGCATAATGCTTTCCTTCCAATTCCTGAGCCATTTTCTTTCTAAGGTGCTTGGTCTTCTTTGCTCATTTAAAATAATTAACTTCAAACAAGCCTGTAGCCTCTATTGTTTTTGTTATCACAACTTTTCAGACATAGAAAAAAAAAAGAGAGAGAAGCTAAATATCGCATGCCTGTTAACTTTTAAGAAAAGAGATCAGAAATGAGTCCAGCATTAAGGTTTCACCGGAGTTGAGGAGATGATGAACTGTGATGCCTGGCGATTAGAATGGCCCTTAAGGAAGGTGATAAAATGTCCAAGGTTGTGAGAAGAGACCAAACCCACAGCCAACAGGGCTTTCCTATCATGCCCAAAACTCAGGCTACACGGAACAATGCTGGTGGGCACCCCTCTCAGAGAAGGCCCCGTCTTCCAGGTATGAATTTACAACATGAATCTCATAACTAGAGGGGTCAATTAATGCTAAGGCTTCCTCTCCCCATACCTTAGAGCTAAAATTCTGTGTAAGAGTATAATATAGCATGGCCACCTTTGGTAAGAGTATAATATAGTATGGCTCATACAAGGCCCCCAGTATCCAGACATATCCCAGGGTTATGGAGCACAGAAACGAGGTTAACCCAGAGAACAGGGGAAGGAAAGCACCTGCTGAAGCTTAATGCCTAGAATACTCTCCCTGGTCACTCAGAATATCCTCCTCTAAGTCTCCCTACCCCTTGCCCATCTTCATCAACCACCTCCTGGCTTTTGTCCAAGATAATTAAAAATCAATCTGCATATATCATTTGTCAACAAATGTTAACCTATCTTCCTTATGCCACTTTTTCTTCCCCTTTTTTACTGCCATCATGAAAAATACACTCATTTGTTAGACAAATAGGACCTCCTAGCTATGAGGTCCTATACATGATACTAATACTTAGAAGTCATGGCCTCTGCCCTCAAGGAGGTTAGAATGGAAGGTAAGAGGTATAAAATAATACCTACAATATCAGCAAGCTTGGTTAGTGCTATAAAAGATGGGACAGTGGCAAAACACATTGAGAAGAGTGAAAAGAGAAGAGAGTACATCTGTGGTGAG